GAAACACCCAAAGAAAGAGGAAAACAGCTACCGGATAATATTTGACACTGTCATCACAGTCTTGTGATCAATAGCAAAAACAGAGAATCCTGCTTTATTACACTTCCGAGAACAAGCTATCTGATCTGCTTTACACTACCAGATCATACGAAACAAGAGACACCCAGTAAATACTCTCACATACTAACAAATTTCATCAGTTTTCCCGCAAAATATTGCGGGGGTTTGACGCAGGAGCGCGTGTTCCACAGCCAGCCGATGGAATTGAAGTGATACAAAAGTGACTAAGTTTGTAAATATAAATGATCCGTTGATTCATATCAGTTAAAATGTTGATTAGTTTCGCTTGAAAAGCCATCTTTGGTGCCAAAACAATTTGAACTGAAAGAGCAATAAAGCACGCGTTCCGAATGCAGTTGATTGCTCTAAACAGTCGTTTCTCGTTAACAGGAAACTTTAGCCTATTATGTTAGATCCGTCTGAAATACCTTTCATAAAAAATCAAGAAATATTCGCCTCAATATCTAGGCGAAAAATTTACTCGAAAACTATTCCTCAACTCACAAGTTTGACGGAACGTCGTCACAGCAATATTCCGCAAACCAAGATAAAAAAATATGTATGATGAACGCCGCCCCTACATAGAATGATAAAGAGAATCCATCAAATCAAATTCTTCCAAGCATATTTACTCAGCGCTCAGAGCTAATCCCATTTGTAAACACAGCCAGCTAAAGCCGGTTAATGGCTGGTTTTACTCATTAGCTACACTACGTGACAGTGACACAGTGACTTGGCGTGACGTTGTGGTATCGTAATGCTAGGAATGCCACAAACCGAACAACAATATTTTAAAGACCATTAATCGATTTCGTCTTGTCCAGAAGTGCATTGATAAGATAATATTAATGAGTAGAGGATTTGTAAATTTCCAGCCGTCGATGCTGATTTTTTTTTAATTCGTTTGCTTTTTGGGAGAGTATTCGTTTCGTGAAGTCATACTCCAAGTTTACATTTGTCACTGACGTGACATACTTCACACCGTCTATTCTGGAATGTCCTGGATTGTAATTTCGCAAGAATGTAGTTTGAGGTAGGTCTTGTTTTGGACCGCACGAAGCGAAGGAAAATAACATCTCCAGCCTTCTATGATGTCCTCATCTATTTATAAGTTTACTTGAAATTTAATAATAAAAAATACCGACGGTGCGGCGGTGCGGTGCAGATGTGACCTTGAGTTCGCCGATAAAAAAACGTAACAGGAAGTAACGGTATTTCCCAGTCTATTTTACTTTTTGGCCCCGACGCCCTTCCTCTCAGGATATAAAAGAGACAAACCCTTTTGCGGCTGGCTAGTTTTAATCACACATTAGCAGCGTCAACACTACAGCCACTAAAAGGCTTCTACAAACCACTCAAAGAGCTTTAGTAGGGAGGGTTCGCAGCACGCTCAGAAGAGTTTATATTCAAGGTACGTGATATTTGTGCTCGTGATTCAAGACTGTTCTATCGAATTCCTAAACAGCCATGTCTAGCAGCCATTTTCGCAGCAAGACCAGTGGTATGAAAACATAAGCCATACGATAATGCGAATTCCGATATGAACATACTTAAAAATGTCGAAAGTTTTATTGCAAGCTTTTTCAGAGTATTGGAAGGGTGAGGTAAAAATTTCACTATTAGGTCATTTCTTGTCGGGGGGTGAGGAAAGAACTCTTATTTCATGTAATTTACTGGGTTACAAAGGAAGACCACACAATTCAACGCAATATTTAGATTTTGACGAACGAATGAGAAAGTCCAAACGACTGTTTCCAAACAATCCATTTTTTCTCTATTTCGTGGTTGGCCGAAATAAGATCAAAATCGACCAGATTGCACTTATTACCAAAACACGTTAAAATTTTGAGTCCTGGACTAAGTCCACGTGACAGGTGAAGGAAAAACACAGTCACGCGGACCAAAAACAAAGCAAAAACGTGCCTTGTGCTCGGCTAAGAATCTATGGTAGAAAGCACTCGCACCAAATCTGCGTTTATAGAGTGTTTTACAATATCGCAAGAACAAGCTCGAAATGCAGAAAGCAGTATATTTCAAAATTTTGAAAATACAAGAAAAATGATGTTGTCTGATATAATGTTTCTGTTAATGAGGTTATAGAGTCTTCTCTAATCAACTAAATGCAAATTTACAAGAGAATAAGTCGTAAACTGTAATTAAAACCCATTCGCTATTTTTTTTCCATAACGAACAAAAGATAATTCATTTTTTTTATAAATAAGAGAGTTTTTCAATTAGCGTAAACCGACCAATTTTCTTTGTATTCACAACCGCTTTCATACGACTTCCACCGGATTTCCGCAGATGTCCTCGTTCGAATACAGCATAGCGAAAAGGATTCTTACAATCAACGGATAAAGCCAACTTTGATTAGAAAAGGTTTCTCTCAACAAAAGTTTTATGTGGTTCTTTCTGCAGACGGAATCGGATGTTACTGTTGTCTTTCGTTCTCTTCTTTTCTACATTTTCAACGCCTTTTTGCTAAAAGCCGTTCTACAAATAAAGCGAGAGAGTTTGTCACTACTAGCATCTCAATATTTCACCCCACGTTTAACCAGCACACATCAAAGTTCACGTAAGTCGGATAATTTTTCAATTGAGGAATTTTTAATTCACCCTGATGCCAGACAAAACCTTCAATATTTCTTTGGCGGCTGGATTAACCATAAATCTTCTTAGAAAAGTGAGCAATTTAACCAACCAGATTACAGCTAAAAGCAAGCGGTAGTCAACGAATGTTATTTCAAACTGAAGTTAATTGCAGCGTTATTAGTCTTCACAGCGGTGAAGCTTTGATGTACTCCGTTATCCCTTAATGGAGTTTATCCAAATAAATCTGGAACATGCGGTTTAAAGCAGCCTTACAATAACATATTCTACAACAATGTAATATTAACTACAAAATCCCGTAAGAGGTATTTCACCCGTAGTAGCAATTGCACGCGGTACATGATTAATTGTAGTTCGACGTGGGAGATAGAGATTTCTACAGAAAGAGAAATAAGCATGGTCAGTGGTTGTTCCAATCAGCACAAGCGCTGGCAAAACGTTTTTTAAATGGCTGGCTTCCTGGATTCTAAAATTTTCCTATCAGCTCAGCGGGACTGTTACCTCTAATAACATCAACTATGTTAATAGCATTGACAAGATGTAGGGTAATCAAACACCATTCAAGGACGAGTTTCACGACTTGAGATTCTACCAAACCACGAGATTCCATCAAAAAGTTGACAAGGTAGTCCTTTCAAAATCATAAGATGTTTAAAATCTTCGGTGGAAGTACTTAAGTCACACACTTTTTAGTCTGAAATCTGATTGTCGCTCGCTTTCTCGAAACGATAGGTACGGTATAGGCGAAGGCCACTTCGAACGTCTTCTCTTGAGAGCGTTGTGACAATGGGATCAGAAGTGCCTTCGGGTCTACGATTTCCCACTTTCAGACCATAATTTCTCTGACGAGAAACTTCAGGCATGACGAAGATCACATAGTTACTTCATCTAGCACAATTGAAGAAACCAGAACTTTGATAAATATAAATCTCACAGGGGGTGAGAACATGAAAAATCAATTTGGACTTTGTTCAAGTTCAGCCCATTTTCGTTCTATAAGCTAAATTCAAAGATAATGATACCGCAAGCCATTTTCAGGGTTTTGCGGTCGTAAGGAAAGAAACCAAAAGTCAGTGAGCCACTTATCGAATTCTGCACTGATAAAAGCTGAGTCATTATAACTGACCGTCGATTATTTCAAACGTTTTCAGAGCAACGAACGAAACTGTGAGCGAATAAACCGCAATTTGATTTATAACCTGACAGTGAAACTTCCTGGTTCACTTCAGTTTTTTCCTGATCGATTACTAATGTCAGTTCTCTTTAAAACAACTGACGTAAGTATTACGAGGCCGCCCGCTGGAAACAAGGCACTTTCGTTTTGTCACCGATCGATATTTGTAAAATCTAATTTAACGTTTGACTTAAAAAAAACCGTAAAAAAGTTTAATTTCATAATATTGGACGATTATGTCATAAGCAATTTGTTTGCTACGAAAGGTAGCCGTGAGTTCTATCTACGTAACAGCTTCAACATCTATGAAACCCGTGCATGAGATCGAAGGTCTTCAAAGAAGAACGAGAAGCGTTTTTACTTTCGTCTCAAGTTATTGAAGTTATTGACGAGAATGATATTATTGCGTAAGATGGGAGGGAGGGCCACAAACTTGAATTCGTGAGTTAAGCGCACAAGTCTACGTGACAAAATTATGCATCACATGTAGAGTGGATAAAAATGAAAACTGACACGATACGTTCCGGAAATGTTTGTAAAATAAAAACGTGGCTATTTGTGCAAATGAATTGTAAATATGTCAGTAAAACAAATTAATTTACTAGGTTAAAAAAGCACGGATGCCTGGTAAATTTTTTTTATAGAGCGATACTTAAAGCAACATCTAACTTCGGTTGTTTTTTTTTCCCTCCAATTCCAGTCCGTAGAAAGCGTTCGCTTTGACTCTTGTTCGGAAAAAAAAACCAATTTGCTGCTATGCACTCATGTTGGGGGCGGATTTCTAACAATGCGTACTTCAGCTCTTTTCAAAACCTTTGAAAAAGGAATGATTCAGTGCTATTCAAATTAAGTTAATATTAGCCCAAGGTGGTTTTAAAGTACACTATATGTGACAGCTGAGGTGTAGAGAACGAATGCGCTGTCTTTAAACCAACGTATATCCGCTTAACAGTTTATTTATAACAATCCTCAAGCGTTAGAAACGTCCAACGTTTGACGACATATATCTAGTAAAAGGCTGCGTTCGCAATCCGAGCTCGGAGAGATAGCTTCTTAACAAAGTTTGTTGAATTGTACCTATTGTGTGCTTGGCATATCAGTTTGGTGATTTATTTTTCGCTAAAATTGATTTTCCTCCTTTTTCCTACATCGTCAGATGAAGAATTCATGTTTCTGGAGAGCTTTCGCCCTTGTGGCTATCATTTTCTGCCTGGAAGTTGTAAAAGGTAAGAAAGTAGTGATAATAATTATGTACAAGTACATCACCAAACTTCGAAAGAAGCATGGAATACCTAAAGGCAGTTTTCTTTTTTTCACGACCTGTGAAAGAAATTACGAAAATCAAATCTCGTCAGCGTTAGCATCCTGTAAAGTTTTTCTCATTCTTTCGCTTAAAATCGTCTCTTTACGTTCCCTTAGCCGGGACGCAATCAACCGCTCTTTCACATCCTCTCTAGAAAGGCTAAAATTGAGCTATCACAAAACCAATTGGAATTGATCGATTGATCGGTTTATTAGTCAATCAACTGAACCTGACACAAATCAAATAACACGACCAAACGAAAAGTGCACTAAAGTACCAATCAATAATTTTCCTTTTCCTCTTGGAGGACCTAAAAACAAAATCTTTTATTTAGTTTTCATTTTCTGAATAGATCTTCTTAAAACTGAACAAATTCAGTTCTTTTTACCAGACTGCAAACTGAAACATATTTCGAGCTACAGATGTATTGACGTTCTTGATCCGTTGTTGGAAACTACAGTAGAACTGAAAACCTGTTTTAAGGGATACCCTTTAGTACAAAATAATCTCTCAGAATATAAATTCAGAAGAAAATATCTCAGTTGTAGAATGTTGGTATTTATGTGAAGCTACGAAGCATATTTTGCAAAACTTACGACGTTCTATTTAATATTCACGACAGCTATTCTGTGACTTTTTATAGGATCTTTCCTGGTTCTATGTTTCACCTTACAAAGATCAAAGAAAACAAAAAATATCTGTTGCCAGAAGCCACCCACTCGACTCTATTCAACACCAATATAAATACTTAAACATTCATCAAGGCGCTTAACAGCAGACGGGAAAAGCTCAATCCTTGTGGTGTCGTTTGCTTGAGCGTGTTTAGTATTATCGCGATAGGCAAACACGGTTGCGCAGACGGCCTCTTTACGAAACGATCATTGTTAATGTTCGACTTCTTATCTTTTATTTTAACAGCTGAACAGTTGTATAAAGTCAGTGAGGTCGGAAATCGCCCAGTAATTGCCAAATTTTGCGGAGATCAAATCAACGACGTTGTAACCGCGAGCTGTTCATGGAGAAGGACACGCAGTAAGTGAATGTCAATTTTTTTAAATTAACAATACATAATTAGTTCAAGATTTCTATCGCGTTATAACTGATACGGGCGAAGTGAAACTTCTGTTTTTATTTTATTTTTATATACGTATGTATACATACACATATTTTTTGTTTACAACCACAAATTGTTCGGATACTCGCTCTACTCACTATATGTCACAAAATAGATGGCGAGGGGGGCAGCCAGTCAGATTGCAGCATTTGTGATAAAACACAAGTAGAATAAAATACTAACTTGTAGTAATGCAACGACCGTGAAGCCCCAAAATGGCTGCCACTCCTTCTCGGCCCAAAAACATCAATATACCGAGAGTTTAAACACATTTGTGGATCACAGAGCTTCACAGAGTTAAAATCAACAATATTTGATGGTTGCCAATCAGCCATTCTTCAGCATTTTCAGTGTCAGCAGACGCAGTCCTTCTACAAGTTGGGACATCACTTACAATTTATTTATAACAGCTAAGTAGATATTTATTCCGCGACAGTATTTCCGTTTAGCTAACTCTCGTAATTTCTGATGTCGTTAGGATCAGCAATAATGGACGAAAACGAAGCTTTGAGCTTTCTTCAGTACCAACGGTCCCTAAGACATGGAGGAAGACAAGCAAGAAGCGCCCAGACTGATATTGTGCAAGAGTGCTGTATTGAGGGATGTGCCATGGAAGAAATCTATGAATATTGCTGACAATAACTAACTTGACTGACTATCCAGAAAAATAATAACTTATTTATATGTTATATATCGGTTGTATATTATATTTTAAGATGTATTTGTACAGTTAAGTCGTCGTTTAGGCGTGAAATGACGATAAACCAAAGATATTAAGAGTAAAGATTAGATTTGTAAAACTAAGATTACAAGACAATAAAAAGTAAGGTTACTGTGTAAAAATTGCTCTTTAAGTTGTTTCAATTTACATTAAAATCTACACATGTTATTGTTTCTTTGATTGTTTGGCGAACAAGGCTCGAAAAACGAAGAAATTAAAAATGTTAAAGGTATCTACAAAAATTGATCTCAAGATATCCGACCGTTATCATGCAGTAAACGCCCTGCCTTCGTGTAATCGTTTCGTTTTGGGTTATGATATTGCGAAAACGTCACGAAAACTACCAAACTACGTGCCTCGCTCCCTCCCCCAAATAGAGAAAGTAGCACCCCAAACTATGGAAACACATAAACTCCAAAGAACCAAATTTATATTTATATTTATATATAAGTGAAAGAATCAAAGAGGACGCATCGATTCTCTGTTACTCTGAGTTTCGCGCCTAAGCACTCGTCAGACAGAAAGTTCTGTGTAACAGAGTAACAGAGAATTCCCTTCTCCCTAATCAACGTTTACAGCGAAGGAAATGATCAAAGAGATCACACTGCAAGGGGACAGAAAGTTCTGTAACTCAGGTGTTCGCCCTGTCAACGTTTAAGGAAGGAAATGATCAAAGGGGGGGGGGGAGGGGGGGGGGGGGGGGGAGGAAGACTGCGAAGAAAAGAGAACGCATTACCTGCATAAAGGCGAACATTCACACGAAGGGTCTTAAAAATTATGCCCAAGATTGTGCAGTTACACTGTTCCTAAAGCCCTTTCGGGTTCCCGTGTTCTAGGGAGAGGGCCATATAAGAGGAAAACTCCAATTTTTGTTCACATAAAATTCCCTGAATCCTGTGTAAGCATTCCTATTCTTTAACAATTGCTTTGGTATTCTTGCAAACTGGTATCTCGATCAAGAACGTTCCAAATTTGTCTGAATAAAATTTAACCTTAATATTATTTTTCAGAAAAGCTTTAAAAATAACTTTAACTATAGTACTTCCCAAACGAGTGACAAAGGGCTTTCCCCCTACAGTCTAGTGGTGTTGTAAGTCTCGTGTATTGTAAAGTTATGTTTTTTTATTTATATCCTTTAGAAACAAAATAGGTGACAGATGTGGCTAACGTCAGTTAACCCCCGCATACACATCAGCATTTTTTTGTTTTGTTTTACTTCAAGCCAATCTGGGGGTGGTGTACAAACTCAATGACTTGGCCATTCAATTACTATTTAATTGGGTAACCAAACCTTCGAAAGTTTCTTTTGTTAAACCAAAGTATTCCAAAGCTAAACGGAAACAAAACAAGGCGAGTGAAAAGTAGTGTATAGATAGGACAAACAGGCTATGAATGTGCGGAAATTCCCGGTATTGCAGCGCACAGCTTACAATACAATTAATTACTTAACAAAGGTGTGGATTGGTCTTTTTCCTGAGAAATAACCAGATAAGACAATACATCAACAAACATCCTACAAACCAAATTTTTACGGGTTAAATATCTGACTCGGTCGCTTAAAGATCACTAAATTCATCCGTCCGTCTACAGTTCCAGAAGTATTGTGGAGGAAGAAGAGAGGATAAACCAGACGACATCATGTTTTCCCCCAAAACCACGACTAATAAAGTGTAGGTGGCTTGCAAAGTGTTTAGTTTCACCAATTAATTCGCACTTTGTACAGTGCAGCTGATTAAAGAGAAAAGCTTTCGTAGAGTATTCCGCCCGCTGGAGCGCAAATGGCCTCAAAGAACTGTCTCCCATGGTAACAAAAGATAATAGCAGTACAATGGCGCGTAAGGGAAGCGAGTTTAACGAACAATAACCGTTTATGGAAAACAGTTTGAACATCTATCAGTTTGCAGACCTACTTTTGCTCCATGGTAGGGCGAAGAGAACGTGTAACAAACCAAGATATCCTGTAAGTTACGTAACTTTAAAGAAAAATGTTATATTTACATTTCGGGGTAAAACATTTTGTTCATGACATTTTCAACTTCCATCACAGTTGTATCGGGGTTTCCTTGATGCACAATCCCGCCTGTTTTTCTCTTCTTTGCCCAATTTTTAATGAAAGCTTTACTCTTTAGGTTTTCTTCAGGAATAAAAATTTAGGACAAATCGCAGAACATGCACAAAGTCAAAATGCAAATTTGTCGGGGTTACCAGTAATCGCGTGATACAAGAAGCTATAAATAAATTGCGAAAAAAAAATGTCCAAGAAATATCTTTATATTTAAAAAAGTACTCTAACTGACAGTAAAAACAGGAACAGCTTTCTTGGATTTACGAGACCCGGTCATGTATTGGACTCTGTATCGACAGAGAGAAAATGGCAGCTCAAAGACGCACGACGGAAGAGAGTTTAACGAACAGAAACAGTTTGTGGAAATTATTTTGAACACCATAAGACCTTTTTGTATCTCAGACAGCTCTTTTTCATACAAAATTTGATAGAACTCAACCAAAGCAGATTTCTTTAACTCTATACGGGAGCAAAAAGCGACGCTCGTTTTGAAGTTGCGAGTTAAAAGCTTTTTGGCCCTGTAATAGTTTCACTAGTAGTTACCTGATGATAATCAGCAAAAGGACGTTTTTTTCTTTACTGATATAAAGTTCCTGTGTGTAGTTTAATATTCAGCGACTTTTATTTTCAGTCGCCAGTTCGGAGGGAGAGTTAATCAAACCCAAATCTTAGGTTCCTTTCCTCGACATACGTCACAAGGCCACGTCACCCGGTACCTTTACAGCAAAAACAGTCAGGCACATGACACGGTCATTACTAACATAATAACTATTAGTTTGAAGGAGAAATTGAACATTTAGAGTCTGAGCTTTAAAACGTTAAAAACAAAAAGCATAAAATGCAAAAGAGAAGGAAAAGAAGGTTTTGGAATTAGAGATATATCCTGTTTTCAGAAATTCATTTTTAGCTCGCGATCAAAATTCATATGCGGTAACACAGTCCACTTTTTATCAATTTTATCGTTTAATTTCAATCAACCGTTCGTGTGAGAGATGGTCTTAAACCAAGGCCTATCAATTTACCCGTCATCTCGATGTTTCGCGTCAAAGAAAAAAGTTTTCATTATCGTAGTTTGGTATTGCATATCACAAAGTATAAAAAAAAGAAAAAAATTTGGAAGTGTGTTGCCTTCAGATGAAAAACCTTTGACTCTCTTACTCCAGTAAGCAACCCTCTTAATGGCGTCACAGGCCTCGATAGAGTAAGCGAGTGACATATTTACAAACCGAGTCGTTCACATTTACTCGTTTCTACGCTAGGTGTGTCCAACGAGTTATTAGTGACATAATGGTTGAGACTTAACTACTTGGAGTGAAAGCAAATAAAAGGAAAAGAAATGTGCTTTCTGTTCTTCTTTCAGATGGAGGATTTCTTTCTTTGGATCACTGTGCCTCTCCTGGCTTTTGTTTTAAGTCTTTAAGCTGTTAGAGCTGACTGTACAAGTAAAGAGATACTATCAGCGCCTTTCTTCCATCCTTCTTTCGTTACTGATCACCTTTCCGCCATTGTAAAATGTAATTCGCCAGAACTGAGCTCTCAGTTCCAATTCATAGAAAAAATTGTGTTTTGATAGCGTCTAAGTATTTGGGCGATTTTAGGCTGCATGAAGCTAACTGCTAATCACTAAAAACGGCTAATCTTTATTGGCAAGAGTATATCCGTTTAGCCAACTCTCATATTTCTGATGTCGTTAGGATCACCAATAATGGACAGAAACGAAGCTTTAAGCTTCCTTCAGTCCCAATTTTACAGAAGACACCAGTAGAAATCTGTGGAGGAGTGCTGTAATGAGGGATGCAAGTTGACAGGAGTCTTTGAAAACTACGGATTTAAAGCATATGAGAAAGGACGTCGCCCAATATTCTAAATAGTTTGGAGAGCATATCATTATTGTAAGAGGCATGATCTGTCAACCGCAAACGAGACGCTGTAAGTGGATATCGATTTTTTTTCCTAATTAAAAATTAGATCATGAGCTTGAGATATCTCTCGCGTGATGGCTTAGGGCTTACATCTCTATTACATTTTTGTCAGGCTACTCATATTACTCACCATCTATCACAAAATAGACAGAGAGAGGCGCACATTTCAGCACAAGTGATAGAACACTGGCAGATTTAACAGGAGTAGTTTTGAAACAACATTTGAAGGTTGCTAATCAGCAATTCTTTCGCGTCGTCGGATTCGGTAGGCGCATTTATAATAAAAATTGATACATCACTTATAATGAAGAAATGTAAAATGGTTTCCGTGTTTACATAGCCGTGTTTACACTCGATAAGCTGGAAACCACTCCGCTTCGCGTCGTGGTTTCCTACGCCTATCTCGTGTCCTCCCAACCTCCCACGTGTTTACATCAGGCTATGTAAACACGGAAACCATTTTACATTTCTTTTATAAAATAACTAATGAAAGAGGAACGAAAACCATGTTTACATACGCTCATGTAAAATGGTTTTATGGCCAATCAGAGCGCGCGTACTATTTGAATCATTTTATAGATTTATTTTAAAAGAGCCAAGTAGATGTTAATCTTGCTTGACTTTTGCCGTTTAGCTAACTGTCGTTTTCCTGATGTCATTAGGATTAGCAGGAATGGACCATAACCACGCTTTACACTTCAAACGGTCCTCAAGACATACCAGAAGCCCTGCAAGAAGCGCCCGCAGTGCAAATATTGTGCAGGAGTGCTGCGCTGAGGGATGCAACTTGGAAGAAATCTTCGAACATTGCTGACAATACCTAACTTGACTGACTATCCAAAATAAATCCAACTTATTGCTGGCAAGCCTTCGCCAGAAATCACTTTTACATTGAAATTTCCAGTTTATATGTTGTGGATCGGTTGTATGTTATATATTAAGATGTATTTGTACAGTTAAGTCGTCGTTTAGGCGTGAAATGACGATAAACCAAAGATTAGATTTGTAAACTGACTAAGATTACGAGATCATAAAAGTTAGGTTATTAAGTGAAAATTGCTCTTTGAATTGTTTCAATTTACATCAAAATATACTTTTGTTTAGAGGGAAAATCCCTCTATCCTGGACTTAAATTGTAATTGGTTGTTTCTTTGATTGTTTGGCGAAATAGGCACGAGAAACAAAGAAAACTAAAATTGTTAAGGGTATCGGCAACGATTGCTCTCGAGATATCCGACAAACGCACACGCCCTACCTTTGTGAAATCGTTTCACTTTGGGCAATAATACCAAGTAAACATCAGGAAAACATATCATTGTACCTTTTGGCGTTTTAAATTTCCGCACAGAAGAGGCGTTTACAGCATCTCCTTTTTTTTCCTTTTCAATAAAGGGCAAAGTGATTCGCCACGCTCTTGATCGAATACTATGCAGGTTTTTGTTGATAATAACAAAATTTTTGTTTCCCTTTTGTCGACAGAGATAAAAAAAAAAGCAAACCCTTGTCAGAAGCCGGCTCAGATAAATTCTCTATCTGCAAGAAAAGATAAACTTAGGCTTAAAGTATAATTGAATTGCTCTACAGTGCATGGAGATCAAGAACGACAGTGGGTCTGATCCCTACTTATTTGACTTCACACCAAGATAAATCTATCTATCGAGCGTCTTAAAAAGGTGCACCATTCAGAGTAACATAAAATCGAAATCTTGCGCTATTTGAAATATCATAAGTGCTTTCCTCCAAAAAGGTATTGTCATATGCTGCTTCAAACTGTCTGCTCGACTGTAGCCACTGCCATGATATTTGTCATGTCACTTTCCCTATAAACTTGCCACGCAAAAATATGTCATTACAAAATGCACAAATAAACTAGGCCAAATATAAATGAGACAAATCCGTTCCTGGCTCCCTCCCCCAAATAGAGAAAGTGGTACCCTATAGAAAAACTTCAGGAGTCATGGGTTCCTGAACACGCTAACTCCAAAAAACCTCCTAATTGCCCTTCAACTAAATTTACATCAGCATACTTCTTACTACTGAGAGATAAAATTTGACTATTTCTATGACAAAAGGGCACTGTTATGTTAGCAAAAGTTGACAATAATTGATGGATGTTCTATTTCCAACCTTAGGTTCCAAATGATGCCGGCATACTGGGTCATGCCAAATAAGTAAACTCGTCGTAAATTAATTTTTTTTATAGACGTTTTCAAATGCGCTCTTTCTTATTATTATTATTCTTTTATGAAGGACAATTATAAATGAGGAGCTACTTTTACTCACTTTGCTACGCAGTTGTTTACACTTAAGGTAAGGTTGAAAGATGAAAGGCAGTAAGTTTTCAGAAATATTTCCGTTTTTCGTTAGCTGTATAAGCCAAAACAATGGACGTCACTAAGAAACTATTCCTTGATACCCGAACATAAGTACCGGGTTTTTCTGAAAACAGAATATTACTTATCCCGTGGTAACTAAATGCGAATAATATACACAGCTGTGTCAGATAAGCATCACGAGTATAGTAATGACTCCCAACAGCTGGGCCCAATCACTATCACAACTGAAATCCTACTAAAAGACTTTAGGACACCTTCAAAGCAAATGCTAAAAACTATGTTCGCATTTTTTACATGTGCGCTACTTAAAAGGTAACTGGTCTCCTTCCCCTATCCCTAGTCAATGTTAACAGCGAAGGCAATAATCAGAGAGATTAAATCCACACTGTAAAGGTGAGTGACTGTGCTTGTGCGCGTGTGTGTAAGGGAGAGGGGAAGAGGGAAAACCGCAAAGGGAAAAGAACGCATTACTCGCAGAAGGGTGAATTTTCGCTCAAAGTATCTCAACACGTCTGCCCATGATTGTATTTACTCTGTTCCTAGAGCCTCATAGCTCCCACGTGTTCCAGAGAGAGGGGCACACCAGCTGTTTGACTTTCTCTGAAAGTCTATCGCATGGCTTACACAATCGGCATTGATGGACAAAAAGAAAACATTACTTGTAGGTCGATTCCAGTGTGGCCCTATTTTCCCCGAAAATTTTGCAAAAATAGACCCGACTCGCGAACAGAGGTTTTGTAGAGTGGTAGAAAAAAAAAGAAACAAGGAAATAAACAAAACAAAAATGCTACTTAAGAATCTTAACGGAATACAGACAATTTAGCTATTCAATTCACCGATACTCGACAAAAAGTGTTGTTTCATTATTTCGGTAGTATGGAAAATTCCAACCTTCATTCACATAAAGATTCTTAAATCTTTAATAAGCGTTCTTATTCTTTAATAATTGCTCTTAACAGTATTCGTAGATCAAGAACGTCCCCAAATTCCGTTTTATAAATAAATTTAAAAACAGATCTTTCCAAAACGAGAGAGTCTAGTGGCGTTAGAAGTCTTGTTTCTTGTGTAGTTCTGTTTTTTATTCAAAACAGTTAAAAATAAAATATTGGGCGGATATAGTTGGCGTCAGTTTCATTGTGTAACTGATTTAAAAACGCTGTCGTGTAGACAGTATACACGACAGCGTTTTTGTTCAGTTGTACAAGTATTTACTTTACAAAGGCGTGGATTGAACTGTTTTTTCCTTGGTAGCTGTTCGACTTCCCTTCAAAGGAAGTCAAAAAGTTACCAAGACATTTTACAAACCAATTTTTACGGGAGGAATATCAGGCTTTTTTATCTAGAGATCACTGAATTCATCCGTCCGTCTGCATTTTTTTGAGCACTCTGGAGGAAGAATAGACGATAAACAAGACGATATCATATTATTTCCCAACGTAGAAAATGAAAAACTGTCGGTGGTTGGTCTAAGTTTTTCTTCGCTATTTTCCCCTCTTGATACATTTATTTTACCTGTTAAGTGTTTATTTTCACCATTTGATTCGCATTTTGTACAATGCAGCTGATCAAATAGAAAAGCTTTCGTAAAGTATTCCACCCGCTGGAGCGCGAATGGCCTCAAAGAATTTGCTATCTGTGTTGACAGACGAAAAATAGCAGCACAATGGTGCGCAACGGAAGCGAATTTAACGAACAAAAGCCGTTTGGGGAAATTAGTTTGAACATCATAAGACCTTTTGTTTTTCTCAGACAGGTGTTATCCAATTAAACTTGAATAAAACTCGACACGGCCAAAACAAATTTCTTTATATCTACCCGGGAGTAAAAAGAGAAGCTTGTTTTGACGCACCAAGTTAAACTGCTTTTTGGAAGGCCCAGTGCCACCAATACCGAGAATACAACATATGGTGAGTAAGATACGCTGTAACGAGTTGAAATTAAGTGCGAGAGCTGAATTGAAAGATGATGTTATTCAATTAATGACACCGGCATACTCGGAGAAAAAGAACTCTGAGTACCTCCAATAGGGGTCGACCCAGTACGACCTTCCGATTAGTACTTCGAAATGATTTGGTCAAGCAGAATCTGTTGCATTTTTCCTCCAAGGCAGAGAGGTGCAGTGTATGTTATGATCGACCAAAAACCATACAAACTCTAAAAATTTAAAGATACGTATTCAGTTCCCTAGTTAACCTCACCAGCTAAATGCCTCAGCGACAGGACATGTCTCAAGTAAATAACTTATATTTCTGTCAGTGAGCGTTGATTAAATCTAGCCTTATTACAAGGATCTAGTATTGATTATTTCCATAACGTTTAGGACACATTATTCGAAACCAGCATTGTTGATTTTCAAAATGGTAATTTTATCTTATTCGTAACTTCGAAAGTAGTATCATCTTGGGAGTAGACAAAAGGTAAAGGCAAACGAAAAAGTGAATAAATTGTTACAATTCCTTGTACCAGTCATATTTCCTTTAACATCACACCAGATTGCATCGCTATAATTCAGTTGCTAGTTAGAAGCACCAACACGTGAAGAGTATCATAATAAGGCCTTTGGTAAAAAAAAGGAATAACAACTCCGCAAACTATTTTTTAAATAATAAAGCATATTGACTTAAGGAACGGGAAATACTGTGGAAGACATATCCATGTCATCTTTCTTTAGTTACACTCGAGCTGTTATAACAAATACTTGTTAACGAGTACCTCAAGGTTTTAAAAACTCCTCTCATGAAGTTTAACATCACAAATTAGCGGTTACAAAGATTTGCAATGAAATTTGCGGCATCGGTGATATGAAAACAATCAATACCTTCCTCTGTTATTTTCCCAGCTGCAGGTCTTATTCCTTTGATCTCAATGTTTAAATTAGGTTTTAATCTTGAAGCTTCTTAATATCTTTTCAAATGATAAAAATTTGCATCCGAAATTAATTTTGAAATTTAAAAACTATTTAATTTTAGTGAAGACAAAAAATTAATATTATGGTGTTTATCACACCGGTTGCTGCTTGAATGATTACTGTTTCATACAGAATCTGGTTTCGGTTTGAAAGCTTTCAATACCAGATATTTGCCGTTCGCTGTAACATTTTAGTTTTCAAATTCCACGGTTTTTGACAGAAAAAAGAAGAGGTCTGTTAGCCTCATATCCTCCTTTCCGTGGCGTTTCATGGTATTTCAGCCGAAGAGTAGTTAACAAAAGAATTCTAAATGGACAACGGAACATTTAAATAGGTAAATAGCCTACGTGTAGCCTTACCCTCCCCCCCCCCAGGTGAAACGGAAGCGAGGGAACGCCTACGCAAACCCACGGGTACGGCTACACGTAGGCTAATAGGTAAACAATAGAAATGGAAAACATCGCCTGTACTTCTGCGGACGCCCGCCCTGAAATAATCAGATTGAAAAACAAGGGATTTATTTTCACTCTCCTCTCATTTATTCACAATCACTCGTCATATAAGTTTCAGACGCACGATAATTAAAAACACCCTAATCAGTGCTGATCATAACAGTCAGAGGTAAGAGAAACAATCTAAGACACCCGAAAAATCACAGTGACTGAACTTAAGTTTGTCGTGGAATCAACAAAGTGAAGGTTGAATCAACCAAGATAATGAGGTTACTTCTATAAAAGGAAAACCGACAAAGTTTTATCATCAAGGTAAGTCAGCTTATACTGCAATAGTTTTTATGATTAAGTTCGGGTGGGGGAGGGGGTTAAGGGAGGAAAAATAATGTAGAGACCAACGAGTTTTAAATAAAATGAGGACTGAGACTAAGACCACCTGTGAGCATACAAGAACTGAAAGGAAATGTTGTGCTTTCGGTTCTTCTTTCAGATGAAGGAATCGTTACTTTGGATCATTGTGCCATTCCTGGCTATTGTTTTAAGTCTTGAGGCTGTTACAGGTAACAAAGTTGGAGTGTGAGAAATTATTTGTCCTTTTTCCATCCTCCTTCGTTATTGATCACCTTTTTCACCATTATATAATTCGCCTGAGTGATGACACGATTTTGGATTTACAACACTCGATTGAAAAGCGCTTAATTCCAATTCATACAACAATTTTGTCTTGATAGGGTCTAGACTTGTCAAGGCGTATGAAGTTGGATCTAGGCGAATTGATGCCCATATCTGTGGCGATCATATCAAAGAAGTCTACACAAAACTGTGTATTGACGAATCTGTTGGAAAGAGGAAACGTAGTAAGAGAATCTTATTGTTTCTTTTGTGGCCTGAAATTCTCAATCACTAAACATGATCGCCTAATTTGTTGCATTTTCAGGATCGCCTTTGATGGAAGAAAAGGAGGCACTAAGTTTTATACATTCTGAAAGCAATGGAAGTCTACGAAAAGCACGTTCAGTTAGAACTGTTGATATTGTTGAGGAGTGTTGTAGAGAGGGTTGCACTATCGGTGAATTGAAGGAATATTGTTGAAGTAACTGATGGCAAATTTACATGACAGTGGCAAAATAGGTTCTAAGGAGTATTTATCTTGGAAATTCGTTACCAAATTTGTAAAAAGATGAAATAAATTAAATTTAACACAACAAAAAGTGATCAATGGAGATATACTGGATTATTCAAGGAAAACCTAGAACATACATAGTAACATAAGGGTAACAATAGAGTACCTTATATCCAAAAAGAGAATGAAGAGTGGCTTAGAGCCGCAGCATTAAAAGACATGGGTAACCAAATGAGCCTAGATTCATCACATATGTGTGTAATATGCTGATGTGTGTTCAACAGCTACTACAAGCCATCTATAGATAGAATGAGTTCGTCGTAATTCAAAGTGTTAGAACTATTTTTTGTTTCTGCTGACGGTGGCTTCGTAAGAGGCACAGGAATATTTTCCACTTACTAATGTAAACTATTCTCTCGGAGATTCTAAAAAACTTATTGCGATTTGGGGCAGTGACAGGTAGAAAGGAAAAGAAACAATGACATTGATAGTAAACCTGGACCGGCATCAACTGAGTAAATGACAAGTCGAACACCTTCGGGTGAACGTCAGCTGTTATGACACCCTTTCCACTCCCACACATAAACATTTTAACCCTTCAACTCCATGAAGTAAGAACATGTAATTTATCTTTGTGATATCCACATATTACCCAGCAAACAGGCAATGAGAGTACTCAATGAGAGTGAGGCAAACTTATCAGGTAGAATTTGCTATCTTGATCTCTCCTGTCTTGATCAAGCACCAAATTCTCGCGCTTAATTAGAAAAAAAATGTGTCGCAGCTTGTGGGGAGAATTTAAAAATCAGATCTAGGAAGTAAAGGGTTAAAAGAGCAATTCCTAAAAGACAGTCTTTTTTGCGCATGTTAACTAATAAGAGCAAATTCATCAAACTATGTCGTTTTTAATCCCTATCAATTTCCATTCTTCACCATTTTGTCCTGTTTAAATTAGAAGTTGCTTCCTTTTGATGTGCTTCTTTCCTCATTTAAAATCCGATGTTTCAAAGTCCACCGCAAATTTTGACGCAGATTTTGTTTTAGATAAAAGCCAAAGATTTAGATCAAACGACAGAGGTGCGTCCAAAGTATTCAGCAACTATTTATGTATACCGAAAAACTTTCATTGAGATTTCTCTTGAATACATATGAAGGCGAATCTTCTAATGGCGGACCTTGGTCAAAACAAAAGTTGTGTGGATGCCACCAGATGCAAGTATTTCGTTGACAACACGTACCAGAATCAAAGAAAACAAACGTAGTAGGATGACAAGCTGCGATAGAATGTACACAGCTGAATTCCAGCTGAATTTGCGAGTGAGATCACAGTAAAGCCTTCTCTTGTACTGCTTGAAAGAAAAACATTTCCTGTTGTAATTGTTTCTTTTAATTCTGTTAAAGCTTCTGAGGGAGTGAAGTACCAAAAAACGCTGGCAAATCGCTAGGGCAAATGTCTGATGGAAAGAACTTAACACTGACAGAATCTCCAGCCCATGTCTGTCGTTGTCCCAATACTGTAATGACAAAAAAGATGCTTTTTCAATGGGGAATCAAAGCGGCCACACCAAAGGGGCCACTGGATTAACATCTCAAAGTTTCTGAAAGTCTCTATTGAACATTGAACAAGCGAAAAGAAGAACATGAGTGAAAGCTAGTTTCGAGGCATTGATTGAACGACAATTCAACAATGCTACTCCGGAGCAACAAGATAGCTTCTTGGAGGAACACACTGGAACTAGAACTGCATGGAACTGGATAATGTCGTCGCATATATAATCTGCTGTGGTATTCTGAAAATGTTGCTTCAAGACTGTTCATTATTACTAAGACTTCTTCAGCTACGTCTTTTTTTAAGCTTTCATCGATAAAAACGAGTAAAAATATTGATACTTTCTATTTTCCCTTCTTCACATAAAAAATTTTGAACGGGTAGTTCTTTGTCATTTTATCTGTTTGTATTTTAGGCGTACACGTTATTAAAGCTAAATTTGATGTCATTCATTTATTTATTTTGCAATAAACGCATCAATAATACCAAGACTGTTTGAATTTATGGATAGGGCAACTATATCAAACTTAACATCGTTTGACCAGGTTTATCAACTAACAGCAGAATTCTATACAATTAGTCATATTATTAAGTATATACCCCTAAAAAATACACAGCTACAAATAAAGAGGGGGGGTGAATAAGGGTATGCAAATCCACAGATAGGCTGTTATCGATCCGTTTAAAAAAAGTGTTAAACCCGAATCCGTTTGCTACGTGACACGGGGATTTGTAAAAATAAACGTACCTTAATATTTCGTAACCTTTTTAACACTAAACTAGAGAGCAGCACTTCGTAAACAGCTGTTTACTAAATAGAGGCGTTGAGTTTTTACTTGTAAAACTCCCTGAAGACTGAAGTCTTCGATAGTTAAACGAAACGCGTCGGAGAATAAAACAAGTTTTACAACAACTGTTCGCAGAGTTCTGCTCTCTGGTTTAGTATTAATTTCTTAGGGGAAAAAAAGGTACCACGTACGACCCAGTAATATGATTGTAATACAACCCAAACTGACAAGAACCCGAAGACAACACGTCCCGCTGGCAGCATGTCACAGGTTCCTAACCATAGCGCGTTACTATTTCCCGATTGTGTGACATTCGGTGAGTGTTGTCCGTGACAAAAAAAAAATACTACAGTAACGCACATCCAAACAAAACCAGAAAAAACAAAACTGTTACATTTCTGACGCTGAGATCCACGATCCGAACTTCGTCATGAGTAAAATCCAAAATCAGGGCCCAAAATCGATGAAAACCGGAAACCGCTACAGGATCAGCGAATCTGTTAAAAGTTTTAAATCCAAAATCCGGGCAAATCTACTGTGGGATTTCGCGGATCCGTTTTCCTATTCACCCCCCTTAATAAATTAAAATGAGAAATTTAACAACAACTGCAGATATGAAATAATAAACACGCATTCATGCAAAACAAGTTTTGTATACATTCCGTCAAAAACTGTGCTAAGCAGGCCACTAGTTAAAATAATTTGTATGCAATAAAATTTAGAATACGATTCACTGTAAGATATGTTAATGATAATTTGTTAGACAAATGAACTCTTTAGGTAATCATAGTGTTACTTAAATCACAGTTGTATTACACGGCTCCCTAAGAGAGCACTCCTTAGTAATGATGGATACCATGGCTAAATGAAGTTTTCATTAATTTATGCTTTCATTCAGTCATCAATTCATATATATATATATATATATATATATATGTTGCGATAGGGGAAAAAAACAGAGAGACTATACTTTGAAGAGTATACCTTGAGTCTTTCTGTTTTTTTCCCCTATCGCAACATATATCGCGCTCTACTTCTACGTATCGAGCACTGTAAAACGGAAGAATCAATACAAAGACTTCCAATTTATAAATATATTTATGTATAAAAATAAAGTTACTTAAAAAGCTGTATCACATAAGGAACTAAACACTGAAAATAAATCTTACCTGAGATACCATGCACTTCATCCCTTTGTCTCTAAACCCAAGCTTGGATGCAGTTCACTAGTTTGAAAATTTAGAAACCTGATTTAAAAAACACAAGGTTAATTAAATTTTATATCTACAGTTTGCAGCTGCAAAGGATTCTTGGCGGAAGCTTGTTTAGTCCGGTGATCATACAGCCAGTACTACCAAATTAACTTTTCATTTGTATTTAAAATTGATAAAATCCAGTGAACTAGGCCAGCGACCAATCCATGGTTTTTGAAAGCGATTGTCAAATCTAATGTCTATTTCACAATATGCCGTCTGCAACAGACGGAGAAGGAATAGTAGGTACTTATTTGACACCGGCTATAATTCTTAGCGTTTGTGGTTGCGCAACTGTTGTCAGACTCATTATTGCAAGCAACAGTCCTCTTTCATACTTAGCCCTTTGACCACTGAAAGTGACAAGCATTTAATTTCTCCTTAGAACTCACGCCCGAATCACACATTAAGATCACGAGAGTAAAGAAAACTATGACCAATTAAAGGTCTTGATTGTCAAACAAATGGCTCTTTTCGCGGTTCGCTACACCGCTAAATACAATACTGTAGACCAACACAAAGTCGACGCAAATTAGGGCCAGAAAGAAATGGCGGCCTCATGTTCTTCTGTACAGACTTCTGATTCGGCCTCTAACGATGGCTTTGGCGCATTTATGCGGAATCTCGAAGAAAAATCGTTCGAGGAAATCGATAGGAATTACTTTAGCTGACAGAAAGGAGTTGTTTTAAGAAAAGATTTAGCACTACACGGCGTCCAAACAAGTGATCTGGGCAAAGCGCACAACAAAGAACAACTCTCAAATCTCGCATTCCAAGCCTGGAAATTACGCCTGCAAGAAATTTCTGTGGATAGAGAGGATACGTCAGAGCCTATTCTATCTAAACACGATACGCCAGATTAAGGCCGTCCGCCACTAGTATCATCGATCAAACAGGGATAGTCGTAGGATTCTTTAAATGCTCTAACGTTTACCTACGCAGATCTAAACAACCACATGACTATGAAGGATGGCTATGATCACGATAGATAAAAAGCTTACAAAAGCTCACAGGGCTATAAACTTTACGAAGCGCTTTACGCCTTGTTGTAGTCATGTTGAAGCGAAGCGCCATCGCACGATCATAATACATGGTTGGAACTGGATCTGCCCTACGATATCCCCCTCCTCCTTTAGAATGAATTGAACAAATCATGTGATTCGATGTAATTTGCCTTACGCTTTTGATGTCTTCCCTCCTTAAAAAGTTAAATCACTTCCTCTGTAATTCTGCTTCTTTTAGGAAGGGGAAGAACAAAATATTTTGTAATTCGGGGTATTTCCTCTCGTGGGTACACTTTTCCTTTGAATGAGACTTTTTGCAGCCTTGCACGCACGCGATTTTTCCTTTCGCTGTTGTCAGAACCAAACACAGAGCAATAATTCCACGTCTTTACAGACGAAATTGTTTAACATGTGAAATGAAATAAACCGACCGAAAAATAACCACAAATGATTTTTGCTATTTGACTTGCACGTTTTTTCTTCGTGCTTTTAACGGTATTAACCC